CATACATCCTTGCCTCATTTCGTATTTTTACTCACAAAGAGTAATCTAAGAAAATGATGCATTTCTATGACTGGTCTGCACCCCACGAACTGCTTCACAGAACCCTTAAAAAAACCCCACACACATTTGAATTCTGCAGCACACATTATTCTAAAGACAGCATGTGATTTTAAGTGTGCAGTTAAATGAATAGATTGTTTTCATCTAATAAAGAACTGAGCTAATGTCACTAAGCTTGCCATGGCTTGAGCACCCCTCTCATGAAAGCAAGTGGTTTTCATTTATTGGGTGTCCCATCAGAAATAATACATACTTCCTGCAGAGGTTTGCTTTGATCAGAATAAACTTACCCAAGATGGGTATATAACTCTCAAGTTTCATTATATTTACAAAACTTCATATATAATTCAGGAGCAGCGTGGCCAAAATATTGGGAATTATCATTCTAGAATGTACTTATTTAACTGGAACAAGTTGCAACAAACAAGCATCACATCTGAAAGAGCAGGCAGAGCCACTTGTTCAAATCACCAGCTCAAATCTGTAAAATTGAACTATGAATTTAAAAAACAAAGGCCCTTTTTGAGCGGTACACAAGTCAGTCAGCAATTAGGGAAGAAAATGCTAACACAGAAATGAATAAACAAATACAAACACAGGATTTTAAAATACCAGAAGTAGCTCAGGCAGAATACTTAAGAATAAAGTCACATGCCTTAGTCACACAGCTACATAAACACAAAAAATCAATGTGGCCAGAAATTTGTTTCATTGCACAATGATAACTGCTAGTCTAACATCTTTTTAATGTTTGGAAGTAAAATTCTGCCTGCCTATAGTAGACTAGGAAACTGTTAGTAAAGAGACTGAATTATCCTATGCCTTTTTTTTTTTTTTTCCCCCCAGTGGACTTTCATGTGAGAAGTGATCTGCAAATTTTCACAGCAACTATATCAAACATGCCATCTATTGCTACAGAAGGTAACAGTAAATAAAAAGAAGTAAATTTCAAAATAAGTCCACTAGTGGTCTTAATGTAGTGTGCTTTGCTGTGGATCATCTTCTGTTCCTTTACGACAGCATTTAACATTTTATGAATTCTAAAAAGCTATGCAGAGAAAATCAGCTGTCTTGCTGAAATGGGTAATCTCAATTACATCATTGAGATCGTGCTCATAGGCCAACGTGCTTTTGGCTCTGTATGAGCACATGTATAAAATGCACTGCTAATTATTTATATAGCTCATTATCACCTTGCTGTGTTGGACACAACTCATTTCCTTTGTCCACCCATCGCCTTTCAGGTAATAATGAACTAATGGGCAGAATGTGTCTGAAACTATTGCTTTCTCAAGAAGGTAAAAACTTAACCAGTACAGAAACTTCACAGGAACATTCGGTGAAATTCCAAAATGATATCTAACTGTCAGTAGATTTAAGAAATAAGGCATTTAGATTGCAACCTTCCCCCTAAACACAGAAAATCATCTGTCAAGCTTTCTTTAAGAGCAATGTAAGTATTTCACAAACAGCTGTGTGCATGTGGAAAGAGTATGAGAAAACATCCCAACATATGTTGGGGCTAATTTCTTCCTTACCCCCTTCTTCTCCCCAAAAATAAGCTACACCAAGGTCACAGATAGCGTACCACTTTCAGTAAATATTCCTCATGGAGATAAACTGTGGCCATCTGTATAGTGGATGCTGCATATACAGTCACAAACACCTATATATACAATAGCAAGAGAGCCAGGCAGCTAGGCTGAACTCCAGCACTGTATCAGAATCACTCTGACTATCACATTAATATCCAGCCTCATTGCTCTGTCATCATTAAGAGACTGTAAAGTACCTCTGAAAAGCAAGGAATGCTTGTAATACTCATGAATTTAAAAAAATCTTTCTTTTTTCCTTTCAGCCCAGGTTTTGCCTAACATGATGAACATCTAGTGCGCTCACCTCATTAAACAAGGAATCCAAGAAAATATTTCAGAAGCCATCATGACAGATTCCTGCTTTGCACAGAGGCAAAAGGCTTACATGGAATACAGCTTACTTCAGAGAAAATTGTATTGCTGAAGAATACAGTAATTACAATTTTTCCACCATGAACGTGTCCAATATGGTTTTATCTCAGCAGACTGATGCTGTTAGAGAAACTCTGCTGACATATTGCTACTGTGGTGAAAATGGCATTGTACTTGCACTAATGCCCTTTTTATCAACCTTAGTTCAACATTCAGAGCCCTTTAATTTACAATCAAGGACCTGTACGTCTTTCACTGCAGCTGCAGGTAGTGTCAAATGCTGCTGTTGCCTGGTAACTAACAGGTAACTGGTGTGAGTCTGCTATATTTATGTATGCAGAAAGCTAATGACAAAAAAACATTTGTATGTAGATTAAGAAATATATATATTTGGTCTTCATTTACTAAAATACAGGATTTTCCTCTAGCAGTGAAGCCATTGCTTAATCATTCAGAAGAAGAATTGCACTTCTTCTAAAAATCCTTCTGATATAAATAAATTTATTTATATTATAATTTAATTATTAATATTATAAATTATAATTATTTAATGATAAGTATTTGCAATTAAACAGTGAATAGGAGTGAACATAACTTAAAATGAGCCCCAAAGTACTGCAAATAAATATACTATGAAAGAAATATTGTTCAGTATTTTGTTAGGACACTGTAAGTCCTGCTACTGCTCTCATTATCCTACTGCTCTTTCTGTCAATTTTCCTGGCGTTTACCCATCATCTAATGATGATGAAAGAACATTTTGCTTAGATCTAATAAGAATTCCTTTTGCTGCAGCCTGTCTATTGTTTATTTTGCTTCCACTGTGCATCTCTGCAAAATGTTTGGCCCTGTATTCACTAGCCATCCATTAGGAAACATTTTTTTGAAGAGTAATAAATGCACTACATTATCCCTGAACACACAGTCTTCTGTTTTCGTGCAAAACATATCAAGACAGTCATTACTTATACATCACTCAAGAGGCACCACCATACAAAATATGTTTGCCACGATAAAGAGTTAACTCAAGACTAATAAAATTATCTGATATATTTTGAAAGAATTAAGAGCAACAGTTGCTAATGTTGGAAACAAGTATCAACATTGAGTTCTGCTTTGTAAACTGAATTTTAAGATGTATAATTGGCTCAGCACTAGCAAATAATGCTCTCCTATCTCATCTGAAGAGAGTATTTATCTGAAAAAATAAATAAATAAATAAATATATATATATATATATATATCCACCTACTTCAGTCTGAGAAACAAATCCCTCAAGTATGTACCTAAATGGAAGCTCTGGAACTTTCAGTTTACTGTTTCAGGTAATTCTGAACTCAAAGAACAAGAATGATGTAAGCTACTTCATCTTGAACTAGTATGCGTAAATGAATATCGGACACTATGCTCTTGATAAAGAAAAAATTTGAAGTACAACTTGGCTTAGCTGTTGGCAAAAAAAGTAAAACTCTAATAGATGATAGATGTTTCCTTGCCAAGTGACAAAGTTGCACATTGCTTTGCACTGAGAAGCAATTGTTCTGTTTCCACATCAATAAAACAAAAACCAAAGAATAAAGTCAATCTAGAGATCCAAACTTATTAAAAGCTTTTCCTACACTGTGTCACTGATTTAAGTGTCTTAGGACTTTTATAGTGTTTCCAAAGTAATATAGAAAATATACACAGTTCCTGAAATTCTTGAATTTCCAATAATAATTTTCACGTCTCCATTATTATTAGAATGTACTATTAAATGCCAGGTTTGTTTCTGCAGGAAGTAGCATGCATGAACATCAAACATCTGCCCATTGCTCCCTCCCCACAGGCATGCCACAGCTCTCAATTGTGCCATTACAACTGATTCTGCAGCTGCACAGGGAATTGCATAAGGCAGTGATCTGTGCTAAAAATAATGCTGGGGTGGACAGGGGGAAAAGTACCCTGATTAAGCAGGCATTTCTATTACAAGGAAAACCATGAAATTGTGGCTTAGCTATCTGAGGCAATTCACAAGTTTTTAGCCGTGTACACAGTAGGTCTCTACATGCAGAGCTGCACTTACTGCTGAAAACAGACTGCAGAATTCAGCTCAAGACAACTAGTTCAATGTAGCATCTACAAAAACTTCAGAAAGTTTGTCTCCCTTCTTCTCAATACTTTTGTTTTCTTTATTAAGTCAATCTCCTCCTCTCCCCCGAAAAAACAGAAAATAATTGCACACACTATAATTTTATATTCCAAAAAGAAGCAAAGTACTTCATGTAATAAAATCAAAAGCAGGTAAAACAGATACTAATTACAGAAAACAAAATGTAGTGTTCCATCTACAACTCTGAATTTAAAAAGAAATTTGCCCCTTCATGTATTCAAAGATGTTTGTACTTACGTAGTAATATTTTATCTGAAAAGAAACCAAGGCCCTGTATTTGAGCCACTACACCAACACAATCCTATAGTTACTATATCCAAAGAACCTCTGAAATGTTTTTTTGTGCTTTAACTGCAAAAGGTGCTTGAAAATTAGAACACATGCAAGCACACAGAAGTCCAGTCGGAAAAATCTGCTGATATTCAGAATCAAGTGTCCATACATATGTATATGCCAGAACAGACCGGGCTGTTCTGAACACAACCCTCCAGCATTGGATCCTGTAATTTTGTGTACATGTATACAGAACAGAGCACTCCAATTCCTATTTATATCACATTTTCCTTCGTTAAATTCTCCTTTCAAATTTAAAATTATATCCTAATCACACATTTATATTACTTATATTTTCTATATATCAATACAACATCTAATGCTATAAAGATGGTGGAGCTAAACCCTCCTTCCCTCAACTATCTGCCTCAAAAGATCTCCAACCCCCTGTTGCTAGAACTCATGCAAGGAAGAGAAAGAGACAGAACTTACTGAAAACAGCCAGTGATGATACTCTTGATTTAATGTGGAGACATGAGACTTAGAAATCTGGGTCTCTTCTATAAACTCAACCTGATCAGATGTGCATGCTGAAGTTGCAGACTGCAGGCATGATGGATCATTTCCAAACTGTGTACAGAGAAACAAAACAAATAAGTGACCAGTTTGTTTAATCTGTGTTTGTACGAGCTGACTAGCACTTACCCTTCTTACAACAGTGTGTTTCATTAACATGTTTTTCACTGCAAGTTACCCTGAAAACTTCTTGAAAGGGATAATAGAAATAATGCACTAAAGACAATGTCAGGGAAAGCAAAAAGACTGAAGTCTGACATCAGCCTTATACAAAGTATCGCTAGAAATCCTGTGTTGTGGTTTTTTGTTTGTTTGTTTTTTGGTCAGCTCACCTGCAAGTGCTTAAGAGGCATCTTTAGGTTTGATATTTTAAAGTTTTTTGGAAGGAGCCTGCAACAATAACATTCTCAAAATTCTTTTTTAAAGACAAACACACTACATTTTCAAGGAAATATAAATTGAAGTGACACATGTTTCTGCCAAATCTTAAGAGAATTTGGTGCTATTTCAAAAATATTTAATCCTTTGCTTAGCACTTGCTTTTCTTACCAACAAGAAAACTACAATTATAAAACGACACTATAAAGACCATTAATTACTGGAATAGATGAAATTCAGTATCAGTACTGTGATAATTTCAAACAAATGAGCTCAATGTAAAAACTAGCACAAATACAATAAATTTGTTCCTCTTATTCCCAGAATCTGGCTTGCTAGTGTATCAGTGTTGAAATTGACAACATAAGGATATCTATGGGATTATCCACTTCATGGATAGTAACATATAGGTGAGCTGGAACTCTTTCCACTAGAAAAGGATCAGAAATAGGTTTGTTAACAAATAAATAAATAATGAGATGCAACTTACAACACTGTAATTAAAGTGTTCTTTTATTGGTACAGTTAAATGACCTCTAAAACTTCAGTTCAGTAGAGTACTTCCAAAATATGCACAATGACCATCACTGTATTTGAGCAGTGCATGCATGCAGTAGATTTGTATGCATATTCAACAGGCTATCCCTTGAATTAAAACATGTGCAGCACATTATTCATTACATACATTAGAGACTGACTATTCAACAGTATTTACAAAACAAACACAAAATGTAAGTGTAAAGATAAACATCTCTGGTCCGAAATCATGATTAAAAAACCAATGCAACAACAGAATAGATAACATCCTGCAAGAAATTCATTGGCTTTGGTAGATGGTAAGCATAAATAAGTCCTTTGAAATATTTTAAACATCTTATTTTTCACTAATATTGAATTCTAAAAATAATTTTGTATATGGCCCCTCCACAAGCAAAATGGCAAGGCATATGAATTGTACCATATATGCACAAGCTAAATATCATAGGTTATTATCCAACAGATTGTTCTGAGTTAATGATAGATACTTCCACTTGTACCCCCACATTTCTATCTATGTTTAAATGTCTTTACTTACATAATGTCAAATATCTTCATCACCAATCTAATTCTGATGGTAACATCAAGGCTGTACTCGCAGAGCATGGAAATCACACTGAAAACATGAACCCTTACATTTTTGTTAGACTTGGGCCTGACAGCAAAGCATCTTTTATTTATTCATGAGTTTCCTGAGAAGAACTAGTGGTTGCTTTGTGTCAGCTGAATAGCATTGTAATTCAATCTTCACTGGAACCTGTTTATCTGAATGACTCATTAAAGTGCAAGCTTACTGCTAAAGAACTCTGTTTCATAACAAGTATATTTTATTAAGGAAATATGTGCTTAGAGAAGGTCACTTTATGCGATCAATGAGTTTATCAAAGTTCATTTTTCAGAGGGCACATTATTTCTTAAAAACAAAAACAAATGAAGGAAAGCACAGTCACACCTGCCAGTAATAGAACGCTGCAAGGACTGCATCAGTGGCTAGTAGAATATTTTACAGGCAAAGGCCTTGAAGATGAGGGCTCGCTGCTGCACTAGTATAGAAGAGTTTCTGAAGTGCTCAAAGCTTGGCATGCAAACACAGGATTTTCAGTCAAAACACAGCCAAAGGACTCCATCCCATTTTGTTACAGAAATGCCAAGGTCTTCTGAAATTCTAGTCTTTCCGAAGGGAAAACACCTCATTTTCAGAACTAGGTGAGATCCACATTTAAGTAGGTGGTATAACATACTTTCCCATTCCATACAGATGTCACAGGACTTAGGGAATAACATACCTATTCATAGCACCCATTCCTTGGGTGAAAAGAAAACTGCTTTCATGTAAAATTTCTTATAGAAACAGTTCATTTCGTTCATGATTGAAATGCTGCTCAATGAGCATGGCTGATGTAAAACCCAGTGGTTCTTGCAAAATGTCAGGAAATACAATTTCTGAATCTTATGGCCAGTGAAAGCAAAAATAGACTGCAGTCAACCAAAACAATTTGAAATTACTGCAGTTTGATTTGAAGGTCTGCATAATAAATCTGATGAATTACCATTCCAGCACTGAAACAAGCAAAATATTACATGCAAAAAGTAATAGGATCTTCATGACCATAAAAAAACAATACCAGGGTACTGCATCTTACCTGAAAGACAATACCACAACTACTTTCAGAAGACCCCAACAGTTCCTCCTAGATTTGCAGCGAAGTACTGGTACTGATCCAAAACCAAAGCCCAAGGAAACATTGAATGCTATAATTTTTTCAGCACAACTGTCTGCAGCTTCTGGGGGTGGTTCCTTATTTTCCTACACATTCCTAACCTTGTGTAGTTTATAAGATCTGACAGGGTCACAGTGCAGTAATTTGGCTGCAGGCAGCCACCTTTCCAAACACCACACACATATACACACTGTGCTTTTTGGACTTTCTTGCCACCAGAAAAAAATAACAAATAAAAAATAAAACAACATTCCATGCATTTTGCAATTATTTTTGTTTTTAGTTTTTCAATGCAAAACAGCCAGTATTTATTACCAGTCCTTTCTACCACCAAGTCTTATCTAAATCAGCAGCTCTAGAAGGCCAAAGACACAGGAGTATAACCAAGGTTAACTATAAGTTACATGGACAGAAACAGGGGAGAGACTGAAGAAGAGGGAACATGCTTTCTACAACAGGAGAAGGATTTCATAATACTGCTATCATCTAAGAAGCAAGCCTTAAAGAATTATGAAAAATAGCTTTTTAAGGAAGAAAAAATCCTTTAATCGCTTGCAAAATTATTACCTCTCTTCAATAACATGCTCACTGTTAATCAAAGGATTCAAAAAGAAAAACACCAAGCATTTCAGTTTTGAACATGTTAACCACAACAATGCATACCTATTCTTTCTAATTCTGAATGCATTTTGCTCTTCAGTTACACTACTCCTTGATCTTGCACTCTAAGAACTGTACTTGGCTACAGGAAATGAGAGCATATATTTTCTCAGACTGGAATGTATGGAAGAAAAACACAACACAGGTGATTCATTGGTGAGGAACATCAGTGTAATATTCACTAGAAACATGGAGCTGTTATAAAAAAAAAAATCTGTGTGGGGAGAAAGAAATACGGAGTTTTGTCTGAGGAAGCCATGATGATCTTAGAAATGGTCTAAGTAGCAGGTTTGGCACCAGCAGTGGTTAGTTTGTCCTCACAAAATATCTCAAATACCATCTGGAAAATCCAGCTCCTGGTATCCTTTCAACCCATGCAACATATGTTTGTTTTAATACTCTGGTATTAAGTTAAATAGTACCTCCACCCTTATTTCAACTGAAAATAGAGAAATATTTTGATGGTATTTGACCCATGACTTGAGAGTTTCCTGGTGGATTAAACAATCACTAGTTTTGCACTATTTCTTCATATTTCAAAGTCACAAAACAATCAATTAGGAAGATCACGGCACTTGGTCCTTAATCTTATTAGAAAAGACAAATGGCTGTGGAATCAATTATTTCATAGAGATTACTGCCTTAGCACCATTAGCCTTTACATCACACAGACTCATTTTGAATTTTCAACTTCATTGTAATTTTCTCCACTTTTTAAAATTACAACCCTTAATTATGTTCCTTCTTTAATCAACTCCATAGCTACATCCGTTCATTTATGGATGCACAGAAACTAAGAAACAAAGAGCAACTTGCAAAACTATACGGCCAGTACAAGAGCTTTCATAGCATTTGGAAGACCTTAATCTCTACTCTAAGAATTGCAAGCAATACTTCCTTTTAAATATACATATGTCCTGGTTTTGGCTAGAATAGTTTTCTTCCAGTAGCTGGAATGATGCTGTTATTTGGATTTTGGATTAAAATAACGCTGATAACACAGATGTAAACATTCTTGCTGAGCAGTGCTTGTACTTTTCAAGAACATTACCTCCGAATATGTGTCAGCGGAATCGCTGACTAAACTGGCTAAACATTCACTCCAGAAATTTATTAACACATAGGCATTCAAAAAGTGAGGAACACCTACTGGACCTTCTTCTAAACAGAAGAGCATCGATAAGTAATTGCTCAATATCAATACCTAACATAACACCATGTTTTTGATGTTTGGTATTTTAATAGAAAAGATTAATAATAATTTTGCAACAACAGTACTATTCCCATGAAGTTCTACGTTTCTCCATTAACTTGAGAATCTTTCTTTTTGGGTGAGCATGTGATCACAGCCAGGAAAGGACCTGTCTCTGTTCCTAAAAGTTGATCTTAGCAACTTCTTAAGTATTTGAACTCCTCAACTGGGCACAAAGGCCAAGTGCTGGTCTTCAGTGGCCTGGGAAAATTGGAATGACCAATAATAGCCTTTGTCTGTCCTTGAACTAGCTCCTCTATACGAATTCTTTATTATATTTCAAATAAGAGAGCCAAAAACTTTTTTTATGTTTCATCATTATTGCAATACAGCAGACAGCACAGCCATATCCTCCTGATCATTAGATCATTACAGATGATCTAATTGATTGTTACAGATTACATCATTAGATCTTACAGTTTGGGAGTTATTTTGTTTTTTCCTTCTACTTAACCCCCACACATTGACTCTTTTTTTTCTTCTTTTTTTTTTTTTTTAAATCTTAC